TTGCCACTCCTGCTCTTTCTCAGTTCTTTGAGTCGTAACTAGAGCCCAAAGACACATTTTTACCTGGGAGTTACAGTCTGCAGTGGTTGAGTGAGAGCTTCCAGCCTGGGAAAAAACGGTCGCTTTAAGGAAAACTCCCATCCTACACCTCAAGCCTTTCATGTCATAAAAAACCCAAAGAATATGTTGGTTCCCACCTCCTCCCCGCCGTCCCATGGTTCCTATGTGACCAGCGAATCGGAGAGCAAACGGATCTGCTGTACACCACCAAAAAGCTGGTCGCTCACAGCCATGGGAGGTCTGAGTCTCTCCAGTGCATTCAAAAATCTTCAAGTCACACCTGCCAGGCAGGGTTAAAAAAGGTAAGGGGCTACATTTACATCCGTAAACAGGATGCTGCAGGTGTGAGCCAGCCACGAGGCATGAGGAGAAACAGTTCACAAGAGGCTCCTTGCAGTAGGGAGGGGGCTGCTGGTGCCAGCACTGATGGCCAGGCTTGTTTCACCTGTGCTCATGCCATGAGATCCTCCTTGCTCTTCAGCTGGGCTTCAGAGGCTCCCTGGGACTCAGGCTGCTGTGTGCTCCAAGGCACACAGTGAGCAGTCACCAGGTGGAGAGCAGGACATCATCTGGTAGGCCCTCCTTGGTTGTTAAATGCTACAGCCTACGCTTTGAGGGAAGGCCAGCGCGTTTCTTCCCATGACCCTCAGACCATGGAGCTGCGGGAATGGCACGGCCAGTTCTGCATGAGGATTCGGCCTTTCTCCCTTGGCTACTTCCAGGGCACCTGGCGCAGCTCAGCACTCACATGGGTTCAGCACCAGACGACCCCAGTTTCGACTCTCCATTGCAGCCTGCGCTGTCATGGCAGCTGAGAGTGACTCTGCTCAATAGACAGAGGCGCCTGCTTGAGGGCAACCCAGGTCACTCTCTCAGGCCACCCTTGCAGGCCACCAGCTATACTGGTAGATCTCCAGGGAGCAGTTTAGGTGCTGACAGCACCTTGTGCTGCTCAAGGTGCCCATGCTGTCTGCAACATCTGCACAGGGCCGTAGGGGTCATGTCTGTGAGTGGGAGCTAGAGCCCAGGTGGGTCTCTGCAGAGCCTCCCAACAGCACCAGGCACCTTTCCCTGCACCCCAGGAAGGGGACGAGGATGCCTTTCTTCGCCCCCCAGGACTGGGGTGTGGGTAGGGCCATGCTCAGGGACCTGTTTTGGGGACAAGACACATTGCCTGCAGACTCATTCCCCAGCACATGTCCACCTTCGTGGTTTTGGTATTGCTAGCATTGCCTGGCCCCAGAGATGCTCCTCCTTCAATGCCCTTCACAGTGCGAACCAACACACCCATGGCCTCACTGCTGCTGGCGTGTGTGGGGGCACACAGAGTCCTGAGCCGCCTCTGCTCTGTGTCTCCAGATTCGCAGAGTGCAGGTGGGAGCTGCAAACGCACCTCAGCAGGCAGGAGCCTGCTGCACCTGCCGAGGGATGTCTCCAGGATGAGATGTCCAGGGAGATTTCAGAGCGGAGCTGGGGCATTTCCAGGATGAGGGGAGCAGCATTGTGCAGGCTTTCCTGGACCTCCTTCCTGAGCCAACCAATATTCTTTCTATGTCTCCCTCTAGACTCCAGAAAGGGATGGCTATCCGGCAATTTCACACCCCAGTGCACCAGTCAGAGTGTTTCTGAAGCCTGAATCAAGTTTTAGAGAATTTCATGATGCGATACTTGCCCCTGTGCTGGAGGACAGGGCCTCCAGCTCCATGCGGTGGTGCAGGCCCAGCACGGCAGAAGCCCTCAGCTCCTTCAGGGACAAAGGGCCCTGTGCCACGGTGGCTTCAGCCTGGCTCTGCATCCCAGGAGGAGGGCGATGGATGTTAATGGTGTTTACTCAACACCACAGTGCTCCTCTGAGGCTGAGGGATGAGCCCCAGCCCTGGGCAGTGGCAGGAGCCCCTGAGGGAGTTTAGGATCAAGCATTATAAACACAGCTCCTTTGCAATGCCGGGCAGACCTGCTCAGCACTTGCTTCACCCCAGCAGAGGCTAGCACCCACCAGCTGCTGCACATGCGGTAAGTCAGTCTTGCTGCTTTTGCCAGCTCCTAGACAGCTCCTGCTCTGGGACAAACAGCATTGCGTTGCAGGGTGCTCTGGTGACGGCTATGTCTGAGTCCAGTTGCAAGCCGCCGGAGTTTAATCACCAGAAATGGGTGAGGCAGGCTGAACACGGTCCACTGTGCTTCCTTCCTTCACCTAAGAGCATAGGAAATGGGGAGGCAGAAAGAATAAGCTATAAATGAAAATCGTCATAACAGTGAGGAACACGCAGAAGTGTGGAAAGCCTCCTGACCTGCTCAAGTCATGCCGCACTAGCACAGGGACCACAGGGTAGCAGTAGCAGCAGAACCCAAATGTCCTTGCGCAGAGCTTGCGGGTCTGCTGGATGTTTGCAACAGCAGGGTTGGACCCCATGGTCCTCTCCTGCACTCTTCTGCTCTTGAGCATCCAAATGTGTGTGATTCTACCCTGTGAGACAACCAGAGTTGTACACAGGATTGCAGGTGATGTCTCTCTGCCACCTGGTATCATGGTGCAAATAGTTCCCCATTGCATTATTTAGGAGACGGTGCCTTTTTTCACAGCTGCATCTCATCAGTGGCTTCATTTTCAGGCAGGATACTTAGGTCTTGGCCTTTCTCCACATTTCTGAATCACGAGCTCCTAGGACATAGCAGAAGTTCTTGTCATTAGCCCTGACTGCAGTAATTTGCATTTTGTGCTATTGAATTTCATCCCGTTTCTGTTAGTTCAGTGCTCAAGGACGTCTGCTCCTTTCCACACAATATTCCTGATCTCTTTAGTGTTTATGATGCCTCTTAGCTTGTTTTGTTAGTGATTTTCATCAGCTATTATGACCTTTAAGAAAGTCCCTTTCTAATCTCCTTTCAGCCCTGCGCTGCCCTTACAACATAGCTCTGCCCCACAGCTCCTTACCCCGCTGCTCCCAAACGCTGTAATTCTTGTACTGATCCACACTGCCTCTGTCCCTCTACCCAAGGAAAAAGATGTGCTGTGATGCACAAGCCAAAGACCCACATTCCTGTTGTCTGGCAGTCAGCTATTGAGGAAAGCTACCCAGTTGACCTGGTGCCATCAGCCTGTGCTCAACGCCTGTGGCGCGCTGTCGCACCCTCCATTTTCCCCCCGATCTTCAGTTGTGTTTTCCTTCTGCTCTAAAGCCGTGCTTGCTGCAAAGGTTGGGCTAACAGCCCTACACTCACCCAGGTCACCATTTTCTCCTTTTAAACATTTGTTGTTTTCCAGTTGCACAATACCAAGCCTCAGCTAGAGCGATTTGCTAAAAATTGCAGATGGTTTGGAAAGGAATCACTATGTACAACATGACACAGCAGAAATAAAAGCAAAGGCTATTCAGCTTCATATGAAAAGAGGCTGACAAAAAGGGACAAAAAAAAGAAAAAAGCCTTTCTAGTTTATTTCAGCAATATAAAAATGGAGGGGCTAGAATTTCTGTCTATAACAAAATTTGCAGCAGCTAGAGCACGGACCTGCTTTACAGGCAGGAAGACAGATTACATTTTTTCATATACTTGAAGAATAACTCAAGAAATGCAGCTTAGTCTGGAGTCTCCATGCAGTTCTGGTTACTCAGCATGAAAAAAGAAAAATCACAAAGAGGGGGTTGAAAGGACAAAGAAAGAGTAGAGAGACAGAGAAGAACAATTTAGGGAGACCATTCTGCTCCCAGATCTGAGTCACTGCACTGCTCATAGCACTGAATTAAGACCAGGTTGCTGAGGACTTTGTCCAGTCAGGTCCTGGAAACATCCAAGGATGGAGACCACAGCGTCTCAAGGCAACTTCTTCCACTGCTTGGCTGTCGTTGTGGGGACAATCCTTTTCCTTATACCCAGTCTGAAGCTCCCCTATTTCAATCTGTGACTGCTGTCTCTCATTTTCCCACTGTATACCTCAATAAAGAGCTTGACTCTACTGTCTCTTGTCTCCACGTAGGTCATGATGGGCTGCTATTAGCCCACCCGCTCCTGTTATCAAGGAGGAATCGCTGGTACTTCACCCTCTGTGCACCTCAGGCAGGGCTAGTGCCCGCTCTCCAGTCCCCCATCAAGCGTATACATACTTTAAACTAATTGTATTTCGGTCATTCGCGCTCCTTCTCCACCAGAGTCATTCACTTGCACCCACACTTGCACGCGCAAGTGCACGCACAAGTGCTCCTGCCAAGGTCATCTGTGTACAACACAGGGAGAAACGCAAGCACACGCAGCTCGTCACAGCTCTTGGATTCCTCCTGACTGGCATCAATTAACTGATTTCTGGGTGTGCCTTTTATAACCTTTCAGGACCTTTCATATCAAGTATTTTGTCTCATCCCTCCTTATTCTTACAAAAAAATTCCCAAGTCCCTTGGGAAATGTTCTGGCTCCAGCCCTGTTCTTTGTCTTGTCACCTTGTTTTAGGTCAGTGTGTTGTTACTCTTCTTCCTACCTGGCCATTTGAAGGAAATCACACATACAGGGCTCTGTAGTAGGAAATTGACACCCCCCATTCCTCTAGCCTTGATCTGCAGTTTCTTCCACTGCTTTCACCCATGCACACATGTGCACACTCACATGCACAAACACACACACATGTCCATACTTCACACAACCAATCTCAATAACATTTGTTAGAAAATCTCTGCAATGTCTCTAGGTTGCCCCCAACATTTCCAGTCCTGAGCCCAGCAGCAGTGTAAACCTGCCTTTTGTGGGGATATGGAGGAATCAAGTCCTTTTTTTGATCGCTGATACATCTTGTTGTGATACAACAGCTCATGAGCTCTTCCAGGGCCAAATACCAGGACTTAAAAAAACCATGAAGTGCAAGTCACTCTCTCACTGATCACTGACCAGAAACATCTCTGTTCTCTGTTGCGCAGGTGCCACAAGATTGTTCCTGTGTTGTAGTTGTCACCATGCCCGTTCCCAATCTAACCACTGTGCATTACAGCCCCTCCTTTCTCACGCTGACGGGGATCCCCGGCCTCGAAGCTGTGCAGCACTGGATCGGCATCCCCTTCTTGCTCATGTACACCGCCGCACTCCTGGGAAACAGCATCCTCCTCGCAACCATCTGGACCGAGCGCAGCCTCCACCAGCCCATGTACATCCTCCTGGCCATGCTGGCGGCCACTGACCTGGGCCTCTGCACCACCACTATGCCCAAAATGCTGGGCGTCTTCTGGTTTGCCCTTCGAGACATCCACTTCAACGCCTGCCTCACCCAGATGTTCTTCGTCCACACCTTCCAAGCCACCGAGTCGGGCGTGCTTTTAGCAATGGCCTTTGACCGCTTCGTGGCAATCTGCAAGCCCCTCAGACACTCTGCCATCCTCAGCAACCACGTGCTCTGCACAATCGGGATCCTCTTGATCCTCAGGCCAACCGTCCTCATTGTACCATCTGCTTTTCTGATTAAGCGGCTGCGGACGTACAAGAGCACAGTCATTTCCCACTCCTACTGCGAGCACATGGCCATCGTGAAGCTGGCAGCCAGCGACGTCCGGGTCAACAAGGTTTACGGCCTCTTTGTGGCCTTCACAATCCTGGGCCTCGACCTGGTGCTCATTACCATGTCCTACCTCCTCATCTTCAGGGCCGTCTTCCAGCTGCCGCAGCGGGCGGCACGGCTGAAGGCGGTGCACACCTGCGCGGCCCACCTCTGCGTCTTCCTGGAGTTCTATGTCCTGGGCTTCTTCTCCTTCCTCGCCCACCGCTTTGGGCACAGCGTGCCCCCCTACGTCCACATCCTCCTCTCCAGCCTTTACCTCCTGGTGCCCCCTGCGCTCAACCCCATCGTCTACGGCGTCAGCACCACAGCCATCCGCCAACGGGTGCAGAAGATGGTGGGTCTCAATACAAAGTGTCCTTGAGGGCTTGTCCCTTTCTCTCCTTAGCCTGCAGGGCAAAATGTAGTGTTCCCACTGGTGCCCCCCTGGCACAAGCTTTGCAGTTCATCGGACATGCAAAGATGCCCCAAAATGGCCTGTCTGCCCCTCCCCAAGGTGCCTTCATCAAGCCATTGCTTCCCTCCCTGAGCAGTATCTGCTCCCCACACACATGGTGACAACACTACCAGCACTGGGGCCTCAGCTGGACCCTTCTTCTCCCTGGCACCTTCACATCTGCCATGCCATGGAGGCAATGGGCTCCCCAGACAGGCAGGAATCTCTACTCTCCCACCCCACACCACGTCCTCCCTGCAGCTGCCCTCTCCACCTCCACCAGCTCAGCTGTCCTCACCTCTCCTGCACTAGTACAGGAGATGCTCACCCTTCCCTGCACAGCCACATCCCCCGGGAACCCATGATCCTGAAAGGGCAGGGACTGTTGTTTACAGCTGTTGGCAGCTCTTGCATGGGCAGGATGTGCAGTTTGTAGCAGATAGCAGTAAACATTGAGATACCCCTTTCAATCCGTGACCAGAGCCACGAAGGAGCCGATGACCTGGCCCTCATTTCTCGCCTGCATGTGGCAGGCATGACGATGGGATGAATGCCACGTGCTGTGCCCTGTGCAGAGACCTGCATGCTCAAGCCCTTGCTAGCCCTATGCCAGAGACAGAGCTTAAAGATGAAGGACGAGACACCTTGGAAAAAGGGGGACGAGAGAAAGCTGGGTTCAGGTTTACCAAGCACACTGCCACTGAGCTGTGAAAGCGCATGAGACAGAGCCTGGCAGGTCCATGAAGGATGCAGACATGCAGTAGTTGAGATGGGGATAGTTTGCAGATCAAGGACTCAAGAGGAAAATTCTGCCCTGAAGAGGTACAAAAGCTCAAAGAGAAAGCTGAAGACAGGGAGAGAGCAGCTCAGTGATGCAGATGATTGGCCCGTCCTGGTGAGGATCGGGGTCGCCCCTTCCACGCAGGGCTGGCAGCAGCCAGCAGGCAGAGGCTCACGGGGGCGTGAGCAGAGTAATGCTCAGTCCTGTAGTGCCTTAGGTCTAACACCTACTATGCACCTCAGCTAATAAATATTTCCTGCTGTGTAATAGATTGTGTGTGTCATCTCTGCAAAGTGCCTTTTCATATAGTAAAAGTTGCCCAGACTAAGTGACCCAGAAAGGACAACTGTAGAGGGACCTTCTGGGGAAGACAGGCATCTCAGTAGACAATACAGAGGTAACTCCTATATGAAATACATCCAGGGAAAGCAGCAGGGCAAAAGTGGGCATTTATGCTGCACCTGTATGGAAATGAGTGCGAATGGGATTATTCGGACATGCTACCATGAACACTTTACACTGACAACATTAAAAGGCCAGGCAGTAATTCCAAAGGAGAGACAGGCTGCCTTATTGATGGAGGATGCACTGATTTATTTTCAGACGAAATAACACGGACTAAGAAACCAGCGTCCATCAGGGCTGGGATGAGTCCCTTCTTGTTCACAGCACTGCAGGACCAGGGGGATTCCTGCAACTTCCTTAAAGAGTCTCTGGGCTTCAGCCTCACCTCATCTGTGCTCAGCCCCTCTTTCGGCAGCACCTTCTCTCCCAGATGCCAGCATTATCACAGTCCAGCACTGCAGAGCGCTCCCAGCACAAGGTAGGATGAACACCAGCCCCTCATGACCCCTTAATGGGCCTGGCCAGCTGTCCCCAATGGGCTGATTTGGGTTTGCCCAGGCTGTGTTGCACCCTGGCCGTCCCATAATTCACCCTCCATTGGTGCAAGGCTGTGACAGGAGCGGCCTGTGATGCTTAGGCTCCCCAGCACCTCCAGCTCCTCTCTTGGAGTTAGAGCAGGAGTCTCAGGAGGGCTTGGGCAGGCGCAGTCACACACTAGAGGGAATAGGACAGTGGGTGCATACTCAGCCTTCACAGGGACAAATTGCCTTCAGGTGTTGCCCAGGTCCCCCAGTGCTGTCAGCCTCTAAGAGGTGCTCAGGTTTTGCTAGGACAGATTTATATCCATGCACTGCCTGGCAAATGCACCGTCACCAGCCTGTGCAGGGAGCTGGCCCACCGGGGTCTGAGTCGCTCTTCACGGCAGAGCATGTTACCGTGCCTGGTACTGGGCAGGGGTTTCGGCACCACCCCGGGACCAAGGGGCTGCACTGGGGACAGAGGAGCCAGCTGACACCCCAGGAGGGCAGGTCCTCATTTCCCTCTGTTCGGGCAGAAGGGAGCAGGTGAGGCACCCCGCAGCGCCGCGTTGCACCCTGTGCCAGGCAGGTGCCCACACCTCCAACACTGTGCCAGCTCCAGTGACAGTCACCATCACATATACACCTGGGCCAACCTATTGACGTCTCAACAGCCACCTATGAGCATCTAGGGGATCCACGTGGTCCCACGTACCCCTTGAAATGAAAGCAGTATGTGTTACAGGAGGGGCTGGTGCTGCCCGTGGTTCCTCCCTTAAAAAAAACATTATTTTCAGATTTTCCCAACCTGGTCAGCCTTCACCCATCTAGACTGAAGTTTCTTCTAGCAGGTATATGCCTCAAGATGGGTGAGTGGGTATGCATGAGACTTGAGACAAAACAGCTCAATAGTTCCCAGGAATGAATCACAGAATGGTTGAGGTTGGAAGGGACCTCTGGAGATCATCTAGTCCAACCCCCCCTGCTCAAGCAGGGTCATCTAGAGCACGTTGCACAGGATCGCTTCCAGATGCCTTTTGCACATCTCCAAGGATGGAGAGTGGGATGAACGTTCTTTTGCCCGTTTTAAAAGAAATTACAGCAATCTTTTCTTGGAATGGCTTTAGGGTCCACAGGGCTTGGAGCAGGGCTGTCGACTTGGCAGGAGGAGCCATTTTGTCCTGGATGAACCTTTCATAATTAATGACCGGGGAGAGAATTCATGCAGAATGGCTTGGCTTGTGGAGGAGCGCATTTTAATAGAGTCAAGTGCCATAGAGAGACAAGGAGTGGGTCTTGGCCAGAGCATGGGAAACAGAGAAGCAGACTGTCAGAAAAAGGTTTTAAGGGTTAAAAAGAGATTCATGTAGTTTTCGGAGGATGAACAGGGAAGCAGAGGGCATAAGCAAAAAATAATCTACCCCCGCATATGGCACTCCTGAGATGATTTTAGAGGTCAGATTAGAGCTAATACTGCCCCTCTCCCCGAACTGCATCCTCATTTTCTGGGTCCTGACTTGAAACCCTGCGGTCCAACAAGCACTGGACATCCACAGCTGCAACTGAAGTCAAAAGTGCTAAATCATGCAAAGATACTGAAAAATTAGGTCAAGGCATCTCAAACCAAACTTCTCCACCAGGAGATGCTCTAGGTCTTAACCTTGCTGTGCCTCTGTTCCCTGCCTGTATAACAGACCTGATAACATCTTGCAGGCAGGATGTGAAAAGTAAATAACATTGACAGTGGGGAAGCAGCTGGTATATTGACAAACACCAGGAAAGAAGCGGTGAGGAAATAAATAGCTGCAGCTTCTGAGAATGGTCTGAAAAGAGTTCAGGGAGGAGAACCCCTAAACACACTTTGAACACTGGGGAAATATAAAATATGGAAAAGCCACTTGTCGAGCACCATCCCACCACCACTCTAAAATGACTCGAGGCCATGTCACAGAAACCCTGTTGTGATGGAGATGCAAAAGGGGCTGAACAACACAGAAGCGATCCTCCCTCCCCAAATCTGAGAGCTTGTCCTGCCGCATCAGCAAGGTCCTTTTAATGTGGGAGGGGACGGATGTATGTGTGCACCTGTGAGATCGCATGGCCTGAACAAGGAGGGTGCCACCATCAAAGGCTTCCCATCTCAGCTCTCGGGATGAGTCAGGATAGCCCTGGCAAGGAGGAGGGTGCAGGTTACAGCACTGTGCGGAGTGGCCACATCATGCCAGGTGAGCAGGAGCACGCAAGGGCAGTGGGACCACCAGGCATGCCTGCATGGGTGACCCTGCACAGACAAAGCTGTTTCCATCAGGACACACTTGTTTCCTCAGAAACAGGGCAACTTCAGTCGAAGCTCCTGGAGAGTAACCTGAGGAAACGCAGAAATGCTCTCACATGAGCTGGAACCAGTTCCCAGCATCCTGGATCCCTCCCCCACCCTCAGCTCCCCTCTGCGCAGCCACCGACACCTCCAGGATGCTAAATGGGAATGCTCGGGGTGGTCCGGAGTGCCTGGGGATCCCAGGATGCCAGCACGTTTGGCCAAAGATATTGCTGCAGGACATTATGTTATTCCAGGCTGTGCCAACATGGAGCAAGCCCTGGGAATTGTTATATAAAAGCAAATTCATTAACATAAGCCTGTATTGCCCACACACAGCCAAACAGCACCTTCCTCTTCCTACGCAAGCGTGTGCATCCGTCTGTCTGCAAGGCTGTCTGCATGATGGGGAAGTCTGGGAAGGTTTCATACGCACTGTGCAGGCTAGCATGGGCTAAATGCCCTCCTGGGGTGTATGTACAGCCCGTGCTGTCGCCGGGGTAGGTTTAACCACTCCTGACTGGGGCAGGGAGCCTGCCTGGCGACAGAGGGCCCAGCGAAGGCGGAGATACTGCATGCCTTCTGTGCTTCAGTCTTCAGTGCTAAGGGCAGCCCAAGGCAATGCCGGACCCAGGAGCCCAGGGAGAAAGGGTGGACAAAGGAAGACTTTCCCTTGGTGGAGGAAGATCGGGTTAGAGATGACTTAGGCAAACTTGACACCCACAAAACCATGGGCCCTGCTGAGATGCACCCACGAGTGCTGAGGGAGCTGGCGGACGTCATTGCTGGGCCACTCTCCATCGTCTTCGGAAGGTCATGGCAATCAGGAGAGGTGCCGGAGGCCGGGGAGAAAGCAAACGTCAGCCCAGTCCTCAGAAAGGGCAAGAAGGAGGAGCCAGTCAGCCTCACCTCCATCCCGGGAAAGCTGATGGAACAGCTCGTCCTGGAGGCCATCTCTAAGCATGTG